AATATCATCTAGGGAAGACAGCCATTGAAAACATAGTCTAAAGTGCCCTGGAGAAAGTTTTGATCTGTACAGAGAATTTCTAATTTACAAGGATAGTGAGTTTAAATATGTTCTATTTTCCTCTGCAACAAACATATGCTTTGTTTTAAGATTTGTGTTTTTTGTTAGGGTGTTGTTTGAGTACTGTCCATAATGCACTAATTGTCATAACAATTTAGAGTTCAGTAATCCCCTCATTCATTAAATATTTATAGAATAATAATTGTGTAAAAGGGCTCTAGTTAGACACAGTGGGGGAAAGGGACATTATAAGCCATGAGCGTTACTATTTAGAAATTCTAGATGCATTGGAGGAAGCTGTAGAGAGAAAGGATGAACGTCACTGAAAAGAGAAAAGGTGCAAGAACCAAATGTCAGCCAGTGACAGGTCTCAAGGAAATCAGATGAAAAAAAATAAAGGGCTTCTGACTAGAGGAAACAAAGGAAGAATCCTTCCTTGGAGATATGAGTAATCCCCTCTCCCTGGACATCTTTACTTGTTTCTCAGTTTGTCAAAAACAAGGGTGAAAATCTTAAACTTCTTTAAATGAGAAAACGCTTATTTTGCTTCTTTAATCAGAAAATGTTAACTATAGCAGGAATGGGATCCATGTTGGATTGCTTATGCACAGTTTTAATTTGGGTATTCATTACTTACTCTAAACTCTTGGAATGACCCTGGAAGATGAATTATCAGTGCTCAGGCCTCTAATGTGGTCATCACACTGACTCTCACAGGTAACTCTGAAGAGTCTCTGTGTGGCTCACTTTTCAATTCCTGTGACAATGAAAGACATTACTGGGTAGGACTTTAAACACTGTCAGAATCAAAAGAGACCCCATTATTGGCTGCAGTTGCAACTTTGGACAGCATTAGATTCTGAGAAGAAGAAGGTCAGCAAGAAAGAAACTGTTCTTAATTGGATGTGAAATCTCATGGAGGAAGAAAAAAATGGGAGAGTCATCAGAGTAGAAGAACACATGATCGTGAGCAAAAAAAAAAAAAAAAAAACCTAGAAAATTTTAGAGAGAATACCAATTTAAGTATAATACAATAGCCAATATACATTTCATCCAAGCTAGGAAAAAAACCTGCATAACGTAAGCAGGAAAGGTAATTTACTAGTTCATGCTGTCAGAGGTGTTCAAACAAGAGTGACTCCATCTTGAACAGTGGCTGGGTAAAATGAGGTGCCACTTACTGGGCTGCCTTCCCAGGAGATTAGGCATTCTTAATCACGGGATATTTATGGTTAAGGGAGCAAGTTAATAATGTTTAATGAAAAGACCCAGGACTTAACAGGCCCAAGAAATAATAGACCCAGAAAATGTCCTGGGTCATTTTCCAATGTCTTAAGGACAAAAGCATTTTCTTAGTTTAAGATAATAATATAGATTCTTGAAGAAGACAATAGTTACAAAACAATCCTGTCACAAGCTGTTGTAGTAGAGCCCATCTCCCCTATGATTTTATTTTGCTTGGTTATCATGTATATAAAAACACATTGGACCTAAGGAGGTCATGTTCCTCCTCTTGCTTTTGGAAATGCCCTGCTCTTTTTATGGAGTAGCTAGTCATTCATTTTTTTACTTTGTTAATAAACATGCTTTCACTTTACTCTGTGGACTTGTTGCAAATTCTTTGTTGTAAGAGATCTAAGAACCCTCTCTCTGGTTCTGGATTGATACCCCTTTCTGATAACAATGTAACTGAGGCATGCAAAGGCTAATCTGCCTTCAATCATGGCTAAGCCAAATGGTTCACATCAATTTATCAGGGCTTTCTCCCATTCTCTCTCTTTTCTTCATTCTCTTTTTCCTTCTGTCTCCCACTTCCACTCCTCCCTTATAGATTTATCTATCTATCTATCTATCTATCTATCTATCTATCTATCTATCTATCTATATCAATCTAACACAGAACAATGCAAAAACAATGAAGCCAAAAAATAGAACTAAGGCAAGAACCAAGGCTACCAAAACTCCCAAGGCTATATTTTACTGCTATTAATTCTAAAGAAAAGACATCAGTTCTTTCTTAAATTTTCAGGTATTAAATTTCAGGGAAGGTTTTCTTTCCTATTTTTGGTAACCTTAACACTAATAACTGTGTAGAGGTAAATCAATTACCTTGATTAGTTTATGGAGTTTGATGGATTGGATTCCATCATTGAAAGGGAAAGCAGAAACATACTGATATCTTCCCCAGAATCATTTTTAATAGGGAAGGATGCTTTTTTCAAAGAACATTTGCTGGCCAGTAAAATCAGCATGCCATTCCTGGCCTCGTCTCTTTTTGGTGCTAGAAGCTAGTTATTTTTTTCTTAATACAGGGTCTATTTTCTTACTAGTGTTATAAAATAAGTGTGTATTTGTACTGAAGAAGTAGAGGCACAGACAGAAAAAGGAGTCTCAGTCTACTACAGAGAAGAAGGATGGAAAAGAATGTGCATTAGCTGAGAATAATCCATCAAGCTTGTGATTTGTAGAGATGTACCAAAGCTGTTCAAACCCCTACACATTTAACAGGTGTGAAAACTACTTTTACTTAGATAACTCAGATATTTCTCTTTTTTTCCTCTTGCATCTACTGAAAAGGGCCTGAAAGTTTCCTTTTTACCTTCTAATTGATTGTCTGCACTATATTTTCCGGAGACCCCCATGTCAACATTTAGGAAAGTGAAATGCCAGTGCTGTTGCAAATTGGGGAATAAATGTGTAGCTTGGACATTTTTATAATATTCACATTAGACGAAAAACACATTCCAGGGTGTTTTTAATGGGTCTAATAGAGGCCCAGAGACTCAGGGGAGCATAAGGCTATAGGGCAAAGAATTTCAACCACCCGAGAAGAAAACTAATGGCCCATTAAAGCACGCCCTGGAGTGCTTTATCGTTGTCATTGGAATTAGAATATATGTCTTTGTTTAAAATAGAATGCTACTTTGATGACATTTTTAACATGTTGCCTACTTTTTCTCCATTGACAGTCAGTACCTTAAAAAGTCAAGCAGAAATTAGACTACAACAGAAGCAAATTAAACCTTTGGTTTCACAGAGAAACTAGAGTCATTGTGACAATTAAATTAGTTTGCCAAGCTATGAAGTTATTCTATAACCCAATTATTTTACCAAGGAGTTGGGGTAGTAGGTATTTGAATGGTGGGAGAAAACAGAATGTTAATGCAATCCTAAGAAATATGATATTTGGAATAACTTCCTATCAACTGACCTCAGATTCTTAAATTATTATATATTCAAGTACCTCTGAAATCGCTTTCTTTGCTTAGATGGGTTTTAGCATTTAAATTGATCCATAAAACTTGTGCATGGTAACATGCATGTGGAGATTACAAAACTGGTAACATTTTTTAAAGGAAATTATGTTTAAGTTCATGAAACTTTTTTTTTTTGCCCCTGTTATATAACTTGAAAAACAACGTTTGTCCCTCTACATTTGGTAACTATAAGATACTACTAAATCAAATGAGTTTTAGTAATGCATTTGCATACTAGTATAGTAACATCTTTCATGAAAGCCTACTGACAAGACCTAATCATCAACACATATTTAATAAATGTTAATAGAAAACTCAGAGAGCTCAAAGAACAGTAAAATCGGCTCCTGGAAAAGATACCTTAAAAACTAAGGTAGGCATAATGTTGTTATCTGATCATCTTGCATGGTGAGTTCATATATCATTACATCATTTTATACTTAAATGTATGAAGAACTTATTTTATAGTCTGTGACCAGTTAAATATATTGTCCGGAAGAGATGCCTCAAAATGCAGCAGGAAATAATAAATGTGATCAAGAACTAAATTCTAATACTGTGTTTATTAGCCAATCTTAGTAGAAAGAATAGCGTGGTAAGGAGTTAGTGAGAGACTGCTTATGACACAGAATAATTTTCGCATTTTAAGGATCAGTATGTACTGCTTCCACTCATCCTTAATGGGCAAGTTTGTGTGTGTGTGTGTGTGTGTGTGTGTGTGTGTGTGTAGGTGTGTTTAAATAATTTAATGGAAAAGGGGGTAAAACTGTTACCTGTGGAAGACATCTGAATTACCCCAAGTTACCATCAGCAAATCCATACGGGTCCACAGTAACTTCGGTCCTTGTCTCCTCAGAAAAAAGAATTTGTCCAAGGAGCGTAAAGCAGAAAAAGAGACTGAGGGAGGTTTCAGAGCAGGAGTGGAAATATAAAAGGCTTTATAATAGGTAAGACAGAAAAGCACCCTTGGAAAAGATCCAAGTGGGTGCCTGAAGGTCCAAGAGAAGAAAAGGATAGAGAAAAAAATGCCAGATATAGTGATGGGGGGATGGAGGCAGCAAACCACATCGCCATGTAGGTACCTATGCAACAATCCTGCATGTTCTGCACATGTACCCCAGAACCTAAAGTGCAATAAAATATATTTTTAAAAAAAGGATGGAGGAAAAGATCCTTTAACCTTGATCCTAGGACCTTATGGGCTCGTCTCATTCTCCTCATGCCCGGTACCCTCCTTAATGGGAGGAAATAAGAATAAATACAAAGTTCCTCTTCAAAGCTTTCCTCTTAGTTCATTATGAATAGATAATAGTTTCTTAAAAGGTTAATTTACTTTAAAGCTTTTGCTAATAATCTTAAAGTAGCTGTTAGTCATAATGAAGAAATAAGTGTATCCAATGTTCTTACTTCTTACCCTTTTTAGCCTAGATATTTGCCCTGACATGCCTAGATAAGCCCGGGCAGGTCTTAGATTATAGCTGATTCCCCTTCCTTATTTGGAAATGCTTCTCTAAGCATTCCTCAAGTTAATTCCTATTTTCCTTTGTTCTCCACTGCCTTTACCTCTTTAGGAAAGTTTTAAGTTGTGAGCCAACTGGGCGCAGCCTAGATTGTGAGGCCCAGTTCCAACCAATGGAATTAGGACACAGCAGTACAGCAGATGTGTTAGGTATAAATGGCCCTGCCTCCTTTGTTCAGTGTCCTCTTGTGGTAAGATAGCTAATGGGAGCACCCTTACTGCAGAAAGAAAAGTTGCCTTGCTGAGAAGATTAAATTTATTTTAGAGTGCTACTTCTTTGGGGCATTGAAAATTTACATATAACACTTACTCTTGGGAATTGAGCACACACAGTGTGTTTAGGGAGTTATACACATGCCCATCAGAGACTTTCTTCTCTTTTCCAGTGGAGTGTGCCCCTGGAAAAGCATATTTTGCCACTTTTGTCTCTTAACATGCATGCCCAGGAAATTGCTTCTTTCTGGGCCTTCATTCAATTAACTTTTTTTTTTTTTTTTTTTTCCAGTCTGGTCTCAAACTCCTGACCTTAGGTGATCCACCTGCCTTGGCCTCCCAAAGTGCTAGGATTACAGGTGTGAGCCACCGTGCCCCGGTTCAATTAATATTTTTAATGTTAATATGTGTGGCCCATCAGGAGATTGTCTCTTTCTGGCTATTGAATTATCATTTTTAGAGAGGCAATCTGGTAATTGATGAACCATCACTGGACATTCCTAGTGGGTGACAGGGAGAGCCCTCTCCTGCCCTGCTTATTGCCTATCTAACTACCTGTAACAAAATCTCTAACTAATGAGAAGTCAGACTTACATATGTGTACATAGACCCAAGTTTCAATGATAGACAACATCTATTTGCCTTAGTTCAAACATATATAGTCCTAAGGAAAGTGGCCCTTTGAGCTGTGTGTATTGACCAGGTCAATCATCCACGTACCTATGCACGTATGTATGTAGCAAAACCTTGACCAAATGCATGTTCTCTTTAGTACAATACTCAACAAAGAGAGCTGCCCAGCCACCAATACATACACACGCACACACACACACACACACACACACACACACACACACACACAGAAAAAAAGAAAAAGATTATCCCCCTCCTTAGTGAAAACAACTGAAATTTGTTCTTGTTATATTATTTTCAAAGCAACCTTCGCCAAGTTAGGATATGCTCCAAAGTTATAGATTTCCTGGAATATTTTGTTAAATCAAATTCTTAATTTATTCATATATGGTGCTCTGGATGACAAAGAAAATTCAGTTTGTGCTGTAAATCCCAGATATGGATAGGATGGCTTACAAGAATATCAAAAGGTGAAAATGACAGAAGAAGAAATTTAAAAAAAATCCTGCAACTGTAGTTAATATAGAAACATCAGTGATTGACAGCTGCAAGTAGCCATTTCTGATCTTTGAACAGCACGAAATACTGCTAGAGCTGATCCTTTTAGGACAATTGCATTTTTTACTTTATATGTAATATATATGTTTAAAATATAAATATAATATGGTCTGAAATGCAAATAAAGATGAATGACCATTAAAAAAAGAATGCTGTAGAGTAGTACAGAAGAACATTTTTAATTTACAAAATTAATCACATTTAGATTTCTAATTAGACTTGCTAACTGCATTGGTATCTAATTTTTTGAATAAATTTGAATTTTACTTTACCTCAACATAGGAGAAGAAACTGAAATAAAGAACCATTTACTCATATTTGAGATGCCTGTGAGTCTTAATTTTTTTCTTAGACAATAATCTGAAGCTTATGCAAATAATTTAGTTAGAAAGGAGAATTTGGTAAGTTTGTAACACAGATAAATTACCAAAATAAATACAGCTCATGTAGCTCTAAGTTGATAATTAATCTCTTAGTAGTTATATGTAATGGAATTTGTTTGGTACAAAAGTGGAGACTAAACCCATTCATTATTTCTATTTATTTCAAGTGACTTACAAGGATGCAATTAAATGTAGGCTCTCAAATGCATTCTCTTAATTGGTGATTTGACATTATTAACTGTCCTTTAATGCAAAAGGAGAAATTGGTTGTTTTCTAATACACATTTTCTAAATTTTTTGAACATAAAAACAGCATAATAAATTGTTTTCTTGGTCAATAAATGTTGATAATGTCCTTCTACTCTTGATAATAGTGTTCATGCAGAAAATAGATGAAAGAATGATAGCAGTGTGATAGGAGGAATGGATACAAGCAAGCCTAAACTGATTCCAGAATCTGTTTCCATGTTCATCATGGCAACAGGTAGGGACTGGAAAGAGGCTTAAAATCAGTTGCTCTTAGGTGGCTGATGAGTGGAGCTAACTCAGGAAACCAATTGGAAGAGTTATTCAGGCTTGATGAAATGGGAAAACCGTTATATCTGGAATCCAAAGACTCTGGTGCTGTTTTTGGGCCTATCATCTATAAACTATGAAGAGAATCAGAATATGCCACCCCAAAATATGTCATTTGAGCCCAAGGATTATTTTGAGCTGAAGGCAATGTGAAAAAAAAAAAAAAAAGAAAGAAAAAGAGAGAGACATGAAGTACTCTTTATCCTTCTTTTATCTACCTGAAAACAGGCCATAATTTTCTTTCTGAATGTGTTTTCCTCTCTCATATCAGAAAAGGAAGAACGGCATTTATTAGCATACATAGGAACAGTACTGAGATGAGACTGCATAAACATCTTTACAGAGTAACTCTACCTTTTTATACTTTCCTCCATATAATGATTACAATCCAGTAATGTACCACCATGAGAGGCCAAAACTTTTTTCCCTTGGTCTTTTCTTACAACTTTTGCCCTTTGCTAGAATGGTATATAAGCCCTCAGGCTTGAATGCTTCTTTGGGTCTTCATTTCTTCACCATAAACTTCTCTGTGCATGTAAAAAACCAAACCAAAACAAAACAAAAACCACTAATATTTATATGCCTTTTGACATAGTTTTAATATTTGTCTCCTCAAGTCTTATGTTGAAATAAAGTCCCCAGTGTTGTAGATTTGTCTTGGTGTGAGGTGACCGCATCATGGAGGCAGATTTCTCATGGCTTGGTGGTGTCTTCATGATAGTGAGTTCTAGAGAGATCTGATTCTTTTAAAGTGTGTGGTACCTCACCCCCTTTCCTTGCTCCTGCCCTTGCCATATGATACTCCAGCATCTGCTTTGCCTGCCTTCATGAGAAAAGCTCTGCGAGGTCTCCCTAGAAGAGGGTGCTGAGCAGATGCCAGCACCTTGCTTGTACAGCCTGTGAAACCATGAGCCAATTAAACTTTTTTTGTATATTACTCAGTGTCAGCTACTACTTTCTACCAACGCAGTAACAGCCCAACACATCCTTTCTTCTGTTGATTGGTCATTTGTCAGTTTAACTTGCATGTCCTATCTACTGACACTAAGAAGGTTAAAAAAAAAGTGTTTGGTTTGTTTTTTTTCTTCCATATACCACATTATCCATGTCCCTGTGAAGAACATGATCTCATTCTTTTTATGACTGCTGGTGATATGGGCAGTTTGGTTCTCTTTAGGCACTACTTTCAGAATACAGCAAGTTGCTCTATAATATGTGAATTTGTGTAGCTTCAGAAATTCGCTTCAAAATACACCAAATCTAGATCTCCAGGAAGATAGAAAATGCATCAATTTCTTAAAAAAAAAGACAATACCCACAACTAATTGCCTGTAATCCCATAGGTCATTGGATTACATTTAATCCATGTATTGTATTTCAGTATGATTAGAAATCGGTCTTATCTCTTTTCTAAATTCTTTTTTTTTTTTTTAATTATACTTCAAGTTCTGGAGTACATGAGCAGAATGTGTAGGTTTGTTATATAGGTTAAAAAAATTGTAGAACTGGCCAGGCGTGGTGCCTCACACCAGTAATCCCAGCAGTTTGGGAGGCCAGGGCGGGTGGATCAACTGAGGTCAGGAGTTTGACACAAGGTTTCAAAAATTCAGTCTAACTCCTGAATCCTTTACTATGACCACATTCCTGCGGGAGGAATAATTCAATTGATTCCAACTCCCAGAGGCATAGATACACAGAGTCAGTATAGGGTCATGTTCATACTGAGAGAAAAAAAAAAGTCTTAAAGGAAGCTAAAGTAAAAAGGTCAGATTACATGCAAAGGAAATTTATTTGCCAATAGCAGACCTCTCAGCAGAAATTTTATAAGCCAGAAAGGATTGAGGGCTTATTTTCAGGTTTCTTAAAGTAAAAATTCCAACCAAGAATTTAATATCTCACCATATTAAGCTTCATAAGTGAAGGAGAAATAAATTTTTTTCCAGGCAAGCAAGGTAAGGGAATTTGTTACCACCAGACCATACTTACAAGAGATGCCTAAGGGAGTTCTAAACATGGAAACACAAGAACAATATCTGCTACCACAAAAAAATCCTATTATATAGTCCACAGACCCTATAATGAAGCCACACAGTAGAAACTACCAAGCAACCTTTGACAACTTCATGATAGAATCAAACCCTACTTATCAATACTAATCTTTAATACAAGTGATCTAAATGTCCCACTTAAAAGGTACACAGTTTCAAGTTTTATATATGTAAAAAAGAAGACCCATCCATTTGTTGGTTTCAATAGACTTATCTCACACATACTAACTCTTCATGGGCTTGAAGAGTTGGAGAAAGATTTGTCACACAAATGGGAACAAAAAGAGCCAGGGTCACTATTCCTTTATCAGATAAAATAGATTCTAAACCAACAAAAGTAAAAAAAAAACAAATGGCAAAGAAGGGCATTACATAATAATAAATTGTTTAATTCAATAAGAAAACTAAATTATGTAAATACATACGCACTCAACATTGGAATACCCAGATTTATAAAAGAACTACTTCTAGATCTAATAAAGTACTTAACCACATAGTAATAGTGGGGGACTTTTAACACTGTACTGATAGTGAAGCAGGAGGGCCACAAACAAACCTCTCAAACATCAAACAGGGAAGGAAGTGGTAATTTTATTTGGCTGGGAGCCTCAGAGGAATAGATGCCTCAATAACCGAGCTCCTCGACTAGAAAACCCTGTCCTCTTAAAGGTTCACAGTCTTAGACAGTACGCGTTTGAGGGTCATGGTTGATGAGGTAAGCGAGGGTTACATGACTTAGCTGGGGAGTCTAATCGTGATTAAGCAAGAACAGCACCTTCTGGGGAAAATTTCTCCATATCATATCCGTGATCTATAGAGAGGATTGTGGTTAGCAGTAGGGGATTTAACTTGTTTTATTTGTTTTGTGGCTCTTGTGAATGGGATTGCATTCTT